CGCTGACTCAGCGGGCCCCCGCCCGCCAGCGACAGCACAGAGGCAGCACCCCCTGGGTGCGCCGGGTGAGCCTGCCCCACCCCTGCTCCCGCCCCCCCCGCCGACTGCGGTTGCGGCTGGGGCTGGGCCACCGCTGAGCTATGCATTTGGCAGGACGGCGAGCTCGCGTTGCGCCGCAGCGCGAGCGCCGCGCCGCCTCCGCCGCCGGCCGCGCTGCCGCCACCGCCGCCGCTGCGCAGGACTTGATGAAGCAGCCCCGGCGACGGCGGCTGCCGCCGTGGCGTGCTGCCGTTGCTGCCTGCGCCGTTGCCGTTGCCGTTGCCCTCGCCGGCGCCGCCGCCGCCGCCGCCCGCGTCGCCGGCGCGCCAGGAGGGCGAGCGCAGGCTGCAGCTGGTGGGGGTGCTGCAGTCAAACCCGACAACCCGAGGCGACGCGCGCGACGTCGCCGGCGATGGCGGCACGCCGCCGTACCCCCCGCCGACGCCGTTGCCGCCGCCCGCGCCGGCAACGCCGGCCCCCTGGCCGGCCCCCGCGCCGCCGTTCGCGGCCCGGAAGCTGGCGGGGCGCAGCGGTGTGTGGCAGCTGAGGCGGTCCAATGACGACCCTAGGGATGACTCGCGCGCGATAAGCAGCCGCAGGGGGGCGCCGCTGCCGCCGCCGTTGCCGTGGGCGTGCCCGAGGACGTCTGTTGCGTGCGCCCCCTGCGCCGCCGTGGCATCATGGGCGGCCGTGGGTGTGCCCGCGAACGCGCCGCGGCCGCCGCCGAAGCTCGGGGTGGAGAGGTGCCCCTTGCTGCGCGCGCGCCGCAGCGGCGGCAGCCCCGGCGGCCGCAGCACGTCGAACGCCGCCGCGGCCTCGTGCGCCGAAGCCGCGGCCGCGGCCGCGGCGCCTCCGCGCGCCGACGCCAGCGGCGAGGTATCTGAGCTGACCCCTCCCGGGGTCGCGGCGCCCGACGCCGGCGCCGCAGGCGGCGAACGCGGCGGCGGCGGGCCGGAACCCAACCCCGGCGCGGCGCCGGCCGGCGCCTGCGGTCTGGGCTGCGCGGCGGCCGGGGCAGCGGCGCCCGCGGCGCCCGCAGCGGCTGCGGCAGCTGCGGCGGCAGCAGCTGCCCGCGCGGCAGCCAGCTCCTGCGCGACGGCGACCTTGCTCTGCAGCCACGCGGCCACCTCCTCGATAGACACCTCAGGACGCAGCCCCGCCTCCTCCGCCGCGCCGAGCCGGCTGCCGAAGCCGCCGCCGCCGCCACCCGCTTCAAGTGCAATGCTGCGCCCCAGCAGGGGCGTTGGGTAAGACCCACTGCTGCCGCCGCCCAACCCCGGCGGCTCGAGGCTGCAGCTGGCCCCGCCAAACGGGCCCCGCTCGTCGCCTTCGGCGTCCGCGTCGGCGTCGGCGCGGCTACGCGAGCGCAGCGGCGCGTCCGCGCCGAACACGCCCGGCAGGTCCAGGCTGTCCCCTCTGTCCCGGAAAAACGCGCTGTCGCTGCAGTCTGTGCCCGGGCTCGAGCAAGCAGAGGCAGACGCCGCGGCGCCACGCAAGCCGGGCGCGGCCGCCGGCG